GAAAAAAATTATGCATAACATGTGTCTTGCAACACTATCAAATATGTCTAATTGAAGTAAATCATCTAATTAATTACACATTCAAGGTAATTTTTTTTTTTTTTTATCAATATACAAAAACTCTTTATGACCGAAACAGAGTTTGTAATTGGTCTCGCATTGTCTACCAAACATGACAAGTATAATAACTGCTACAAAGAACATTAAAGGGAACATAAAAAGATTAAAAACAATTCTTATTGAGCTTTGGTTTTCCAGTTGAAATATTGGGTTATGTTATGTCTATGATTAACATTTGCCCAGCTGCGTTTGTTCTTTCTAATATATATAATCTTGATCTACTTCGTTGCCCATAATTTTCTTTCTTTCGTCTTTTAATTGTTCGGTTTCATATATATATATATATATATATATATTGAGATAATTTTATCTCCGGCTACTAAATCATAACCGTACAAAGATGAATCAACGGTGATAAAGGAAGAGAGAGAAAAACGAAATCATAATCATTCAAAGGTGTATCAATTAATATAAAGAAATAAATAAATAAAACGACGTAGTTTTGGGGTAGCCGAAGATAAACTTATCTCAAGTTGCCGGAGAAATATTTTTCCATATATATATATATATATATATATATATATGGGGCAGGTTATATTTACAAACTTTTTTTTTACAAATTCTTACAAACTACACTAAGTACGACCGACCATACTTTAATCATGCAGTGTACGACCGGTCGTACTTAGTGTAATTTGCAAAAAAAGTTTGTAAACGGATCCTATCTCTCTCTCTCTCTCTCTCTCTCTATATATATATATATATATATATATATATATATATATATATATATAGGTAAGATCATTTGACATCAGTGTCAAATTTGAGATTTGACACCTCATCTGAGAGCCATTAGATAAAAAAGATCAACGACTCTGATTTATAAGCATGTGATACCATTGATCTTTTTTTATTTAATGGCTCTCAAGTGATGTGTCAAACTTCAAATTTGATACCGGGGTCAAAGGATCCTTTTTTTTGTAGGTTACAGGGAATAGAACACACAACCACACACTCACACACACCCTATTACTCACATCCACACCACTAGGCTAGCCCTAGCGGATTGAGGTCAAAAGATCCTACCTCATATATATATGGGTCAGGATCATTTTACACCAGTGTAAGTTACACTCTCAATCTTGTCCACTGATCCCACTTATATCTAAGGGCTCAAATTTTTTAGTAACGTGAGCCATTGGATACAAGTGGATCAATGGTCAAGATTGAGTGTAAGACTTCTAACTCTTACACCGGTGTAAGAATATCTTGCCCCTATATATATATATAGAGAGAGAGAGATTGACTAAAAGGCCTAATAAGTTTAATTTGTGATAAAAAAAATAATAAAGGGAAAATAGCATCTCTGATTTCATATAGGATATAAAAATAAAAGTTTGTAATCATATTTCCTTCTTCCTTCCTTACATGTGGAGAAATATATTAATATTTTTCATATTGTACATAAAAATATATAAGATCTATGTGGAGCATGTGAGAAAAAAAAAAAAAAAAAAAGAATCATCAATCGATTCAATGTACTTAACCATTAAGTTACGTATAAAACATTTGAGACACGTGATATTTGGAATTGAACAGTGCTTTTGTACAATATAGAAAAGAAGTTGAAGAAAAGGTATTACAAAAAAGACACGAGGATAGAGTTAGCAGCAATGAGTAATTATATATATATATATGTTTGTCAAAAGTATACACAATTAATCAAGGAGAGGGAAATATATGTTGCATGGAAACGTTTCCCAAAGCGAATGGGTTCAGCACACTTCCCTCTTTATTCATCTTTACAGTTTGCCTCTCATTCCCTTTACCCTTCCCCAAGAGAATGGATGCCAGATATCTTATATTGGCTCATTCATTCTTAACATTCAAGAATATCAATAGAGATAAAGCTGTGGTTAGTCAGAGAAAGAGACAGAGAATAAAATAGTTCTGATCAGCAACAGCCGCAGCAACAACGGTGCTTCAAGCAAAGAATAGAAAAAAGAATAATAAAATGGTCAAAATGAAACCTCCAAGACATGTCATACCATCATCAGTTTAGTTTCACTTGTCTTTATTGAAACTCGATCACCATTTGCCTTTTCTTTTCTTCTTTTCCATTTGTTTTAATTTTGTTGTCTTGTATGTTTTCCTTTCATCATTTAATTGTGTTACCGGATTCATTGTCTCGAATTTTAGGAGTTTTACCTTCTATTCAAGTACATTAAAATTATCACTTTAAATGTTTATTTCTTTGCACTTTTATTTTTATTACAAGGTACTGGACAAAGTATTATCTTTGCAGATAATATCTCTCATGTAATTAATATAATTAAACACATCAAATAAGATATTAATTCAAAATTACATTAATAATTATATATGCTAGAGAAATATAAAAACTATTGATATAATCTTAGGCAACAACTTAAGCTTTTATGTTAAATTAGTTCTTCATATGTATCAAAGTCTTTGCGACCAAGTGGTCATGAGTTTGATCCTTATCGTCTCATTTAATTAATAAATAAATAATTATTATGAATTTTCTTAGCACAGGTAAGTGGATCTATATATTGTTCACCTCATAGTTGTTAAAATTTCGATTTATCACTACGATTTTACGTTTTTATGATTTTTTTTATCAAAACGATTTTACCAATATTTCAAACGCTTTTACGTTTTTATGATCTTTTTACATTACGATTTTATGTTTTACGATTTTTTAATCCCTCTCCGATTTTACTTAAAATCTCGATTTTAACAACATTGGTTCACCTTTCAAGCCTAATGAATGCTTTTGTTAAAGGGTGTATTAGAAAAATATAAAAATTATTAATATAACTTTAACCTACTAATGTGTTCGATCCTCTTTTGGGTTGTGGTTCTTAACTATAAAATTAATATGTGGTCCAAAGGAATTATTTTTTTTGGAAATAAATATCATAATTTCTTCAAAAACAATTAAACTGTGAGGTAAACTATTAAGGTCTTAGAATAAGTTATCTCTAACCCTTTATTTAGTACTCTTCGGTTCCACTTTTATAAGAGAATAAAAGAATATTCAATCTGTGAAAGCAGCAAATATTTTCGCAAAAATGTTGACTGCCAAAAATTCTTTTGATTTCCGAAGAGAAATTGACATGAAAAAAAGAGATTTGTATCCCATCGTGGCTAATTTGTGGGGCGGCCTATGATTTCAATGGTACGAATATTCATAACATGCTAGGAATGGTGATTACGGTTCCGTCCATTAACAGAATATAATCTAATACTATATGTGGTCAAAGGACCTTACTCGGTTCATGGCTTGATTGATAAGATCTTTGGACATTTTCTGTTCTGCTATTAGGTTACATGCTCTTTTTGTGGGTCATAAGCAAGTTATTTATTCTTTCAACAACTTTGCTTACCATGTATATATCATTTTTATCTTCCGTACTAAATTTATCATAAAGAATGTCTTTGTGATTATATAATATAAAAAGTGGTGACTAATTGGCTTGTTGGTTGCTAGAGTATAGAGAACTTGTGGATAAGTGTTTGTTTTAGTGATGTGAAATTCATCAATACCTGTAAGTACTGAAATATAATTTTTTATAGGATTTTAGAGTATAATATTGTACGAGGGAAAAACTTGAGAGAGAAAGTGGAATGATAAAAGAGAAAAAATATATATATATATAGATCCCACCTCTTTAATGTATTCGTATAAAAGTTTTTTTTTCTCATGCAACAGTATACTCATAAAACCTTTTTTTATATACTAGTAATGTTTACTTCCCTAATTGTTAAGTTCAACATTATACAACTGTACATATAAACGTCTAAAATTAGGTCATATTTCCTTTAGACTTAGGAAATAAATGAATGTGAAAGTAGTGAAGTAACATCACTAGCAGGTTATTAAGAAATCAAAATTCAAAACTGTTACCAAATTAAAGTGCTCTTGAGGAATGGCCAGTTCATTTCAGACTAGCCCTTCCAATCCCCAATCCTTTCCCCTTATTCGGTCTGATTTTGGAGTTAAAAAGAGAAAAATGATTAACCTATATGCACTTTGCAGTACCGTACTACTCATAACTTGAAACAAAAATGAAGTTGTAGCCTGCTGCCAAAGTATATGTTCAAAATTCAAAGTATCCATTCTTGGGAATTATAGCATGAGTTTCCTTTATCTCTTTTTCCTCCTTTAGAATTCATTGATTCCATTTATCAAGGTTGTCACTCAAAGAACACTAAAAAGTACAACACGGCCCTCCATTTATTCTCTTTTTCTATGGTCTCTGCCAGTATATAAACCATCCCCCATATCACATTCTCTCATCAGTACCTCCCCTTCAGCTTCTGTATCTGATAGTTCAAGTTACACTCTATTATCTTGAGGTTGGTAATTTGTAGTTTTCACCTCTATCTCCCATCTTAATTTTATTTTTCAGTCTTAATTTGCTACTCTTCCAAGACTGTATATATTATTCTCTAGTAATTGACTGTCCTAAAGAGGACCACATTTATTTGTAATGGGATTAATCTGTCTACTATTTTTTCCCTTATATTATTATAATAAGCAAAACTCTAGCTATCAAGTCAGTTCCACACACAAACACTAGTATATGTGATGCACGAAATGTGGCAATGTTTTAAGGAGAAGGTTATATTTACAAACTTTTTGTTTACAAACTACACTAAGTATGACCGATCATACTTCAATCAAGAGCGTATGACCGGTCATACTTGCTGTAATTTGTAAAAAAAGTTTGTAAACCGATCTTTCTCCATGTTTTAATACTGAAACTTTTTTAACTATTTAAGTTTGATTAACAAAAAAATATAGTTTCTTTTGAATGGTATCACATATTAACAATGTATTAATGGTTGCTTCATAATCTTGTAATGGAAATTACTAAATGCAACAGCAATTTGCACTTTGCAGATAAGCAATTATGAGCAGGCCGGGAGACTGGAACTGCAGGTCATGCCAACACCTGAACTTTCAGAGGCGTGATTCATGCCAACGATGTGGGGATTCAAAATATGGGGACAGGGAGGATTATGGAGTTTTTGGAGGAAGAGGAGGATCTTCATTTGGGTTCAGTGGTTCAGATGTTCGCCCTGGTGACTGGTATTGTGCTGCAGCTAATTGTGGTACACATAACTTTGCTAGCCGTTCAAGCTGCTTCAAGTGTGGTGCTTTCAAGGATGACTTAGCTGGAGGCTATAACAGTGACATATCAAGTTCAAGAGGATCTGGTGGAGGTGGAAGACCTGGATGGAAATCTGGTGACTGGATATGCAACAGGTGATTGATATTACTATACATATAGAAGTTCCTTTTGATTATTGGTTCCTTTCAAGGGGGACAAATCATGCTTTTAGTTTGGCTTCGGTTTTTAAGTTTGAAGAGCATAGTAAGTAACACAATTGCTGCCTAAAGCACTATTGGCATTATAGGCATGCAATATGATCTTTATTGAGTTCCATTTTCCTTGACTGCTTTTAGGAGTTAGATACTTTGAATACTATTTGTCCCTTTTTGTCCCCTTATCTTAGTGATATTGAAAAATGAGATTCACTTCACTTCCTATTAAAATGTGTGAAACTAAAACATTAGTCTTTTTTGTCATGATAAAATAATAATTTTTTTTTTCTTTCAACAGATTAGGATGCAATGAGCACAACTTTGCTAGCAGAATGGAATGTTTTAAATGTTGTGCTCCGAGGGACACGTACTAGAAATGAGATTATCCAATTTTGGGTATGTTCATTATCTATTAGTAGTTAGTACTCCCTCTGCTTCTAAAGTATAAAGTTCTTGCATATCACTAAATAAAATATTCATGGTTTTGTTTTCAGGGATCGTTGTCAAGCAAAGAGAGATTTTTAATTACTAGAGATGCTGCAAGATTTCTTCAATTTCTTCTGGATGTTAAAAATATGTGGTTTAAATGCCATGTTACAGTGAAGCTACACCCCTTGCACTTTATCTGATTTACCAATTGAACTATAGCAATGTTGTTTTGATAGTTTAAACTACTTTCTTTGGTCTTTGTGTTAGATACTTCATTTATTGTATGGTGCGTGGTTTTCTGAAATGAAGATGAATCTCTTTCTTTTCTCAATAGATGAGCTAGTACTTCTTTATAAATGAGTGTACGTCATGGGACAAATCATCATTCTCTTGACCGTAGTGTGTAACCAGGTTGCTCAGTATGATGCGTCTTTGTTACCTTTTTGGATTTTATTATTCAAAACACAATGGAACCCCTCACAAAAAGAAGTCTTTCAAGCAATCTATTCATGAGAATTCTGTTACACCCATTTAAGTTTTCTGACCTAACTGAAGTTAATGTTCAGAGAATATAGGGCCACATATTTAATTACATGACACATGTTTATGCTTCTAAATTTAACTTTTTTAGAATAAGGGCGAAAAGCCCTTAGAACATGCTTCTAAAATTTTTAAGATTACACATTTTTTTTAGGGTTTTATAAATGTCCTCAACAGGAAAATCGATATATCATGTTATAGAGACATACTATGGTGGGCCTCGCCAAATATTAAAAAAAAAAAACACGAAAAATGATCTAAGAATTACATGAGGAAAAATAATTTTTCTGTAACATGACCCTTGCTTTTCTTTTTGTTTTTTATCTCAAAATTCATTTAGAATTGGGTATTGGCTCATCTGTTTAACAAGGAATAATTTTTTATTTTGATCCTATTTATTTCTTTAAAACGAGTCGATCTTCTTTGATCCAGTTATAAAATTAATCTCGAATTGAAATTTAATCACATTTAAAGCTATCAGAATTGAACTAGATTCTTTCCGCACTAAATAAAAATAATTTTGAATTAGGTTGATAAGAAGTATACATGAAATGACTTTGGATCATCATCACAAATAATTCTATTTATGTTTTTTAATAAAAATAGAAAGAAAAAAACAGAAGCACTGCTCTGGAGAAAAAAAAATAAATAAATAAATAAATAAATTAAATTAAATTGGACCAATAGAAATACACGCTACAACTTGGCTTATTTGCTCTTCTCTCAGTTCAACAATATGTATGTGACTTGACATTTGTAACCAATAATTAATCATACTTCAGCATATTTTCATCCATATAGTTTAAGAAAATTCACACTTAGGACTTCTAAAGCATAGTACTCAATTACTCATTATTGAATACAGACATATATTTCCGCAACCTAAATTTTTTTATAAAATTTAACTTGATCTACGTCCTTCTTTCCCTAGCTTATGAGCATATTTGAGACCAAAATTCACATTGGATTCCTTTCACTGGCGATAAAAATACTTTTAAAAAGGATGCGTGTTGTGGATTCAAAAGATGATTACAAGAGCCAAGCAAGAGTGCATAACTCTATTTGCTTTTTATGGAGAATTCCTGTCTTCCTTTGAGGCAAGCTTTACGTTAGTGAAATGTCTCCAAATCATGTTTATATACAAAGTACATGGCCTTTCATTTATTATTATTATTATTATTATTATTATTATTATGGGAAAAATATTTATCCTTTTAAAGGATATAAACTTATATCATTTTAGATCATAACCGTTGATTTCCGTCCAGCAACGGTTATAATCTATTGGGTCAAACTTAATGGGCCAAATTTATTATTAATTAATTAATAATTTTGATCCAATAGATTATAACCGTTGATGGACGAAAATCAACAGTTACGATCTAAAATGATATAAGTTTATATCTTTTATTATTATTATTATTATTTTGTTAAACGATACATGGCATATCAGTTGGATCGAGGTCCAAAGATGTCCTCCTAGTTGGATACAGTTTGATATAGTGCTAATTAAAATTTGTTTATGGTAATTCAAAATTTAGGAGAAGGGAAAGTTTGTTTTTAAAATCAAACTTTTTTTTTAGTTGCAAATTCAAAAAAAATAAAAAAATTGATAATCTCGCACTCTCTCTTTTGAATAACAAGACATTCGTCTAGTTTATTAAACTAGTTTTCCCTTTTCTTTCGGGTTTGTCTCTCTTCATTTCGCAAGTAAGAACCCATCTTATGATTTTCTATTGTGGCAATTTATTCCTTTTATTTCAAGTAAGAACCCTTCTTATGACAACGGGGAAAAAAAATCCCATGACAATGCCTGTAAGAAGCTCAAGCACACTAAAAAATATTAGCTATTTCAAATTATATTCGGTATTTCATTTACTTTAATTCTTGTTATTTAGTTTATTTCATGAACGATTTTTTATTTCTTTTGGAGAATTCATGAACGAATTTTTTACAAAGGCCCATATTCTAGAATGACCAATAAAGGACAGCATAAAAGGAAGGGAAACTCCTATTAATGACGATCCTATCCAGACAGCTAAGCAGTTGGACTTGGGCCCCCAATATTCCTAAGAGGCCCAGAAGTACACTCCTTCAAGTAACTCATCTATAAATAAGGGGTTAAACTAATAAGGTACACACTCTCAAAACCTTCTCTCTTAGCTTGTCACTGTGCACACACCCCACGCCTTGACTATGTCGATTATTATTGTGCACAGTGATCGGCCTACCCTCAAGGGTATCTCATTCATAGATACTTGAGAGAGGACATCTAGATCCTACATAAAATATACCAGCCACCGATTGGACATATCTGTCTTTCAGACAGAACATTAACAAAAATAATTAGCAAGGTGTTTATGTTTTTTAGTACTGACATTTCGAAGAAATATTAATTATTTAATAATTCAAATATAATCTCAACCAACAGCACGCAAGCATACGTTTTTCTTGGGCACATTCCTGGTCATGTTTTAATTTTTTCAAAAATGTTAACCTAATTTATTTAAAAATAACGAAAAATAAACTGTACTATCAAATGTAGTTACAATTGCTAAATATTCAAACACTCTTTATTTTAAACAAAAACCATATTTTTTTTTAAATTGTGTTGAAACATCAGTAACATCTAATAAAAAACTCGTTTTAAATTTGTAAATATAGATATTTGAATAAAAGAATTCAAAAGTTTAAAATCGTTTTCATTTAAATGCACAAAAAAATGAACAAGCACCTTTTTAATTAATAATTAATAGGATAAATTTCAAATACTTCTCTAAAATCATCTACCTCCTAACTTTTTCTTTATCACTTTTTTTTTCTGTGTAAACCCGTCTAAATTCTATTTATAAATAAAAATGAGAAAGGTTATACTTATAATCTATTTTCGTTTATAACCTCTTATAATCATATCTTAATCTTTGATTTTCGTCAATCAACGATTATTATTTTTGCAAATCAAACTCATTAATTAATTATTAATTTTCAATAAATATTAACCGTTAATTGATGAAAATCAATGGTTAAAATATAGTTGTAAGAGGTTGTAAATAAAAATATGTTGTAAGTTTAACCTTCCTCAATAAAAATATATCAAAATGTCTTTCGATCATATCATATAATTCAATTTGTTTTTTCATTTTTGAATATTTCAAACTTCCGTCTTATATGTGATAATTCCAAACCTTCCTGTGAGCTTCCAAACTATAACAACCCACATTAAGAAATCTTGAAATAATAAAAGAAGTACAAGTGTGATTACTAGGTTACACTAGCTTTTGAATAAGTAAGCTTTTGATGTGAATTTTGTTGAGTAAATGAATGAATTAACATGTTAAAATTTGCGAAGATACAATTTATGTCAAGTAAGGTAAATAAGACCCAAATGAGAATATTAATAAAGTTTAGGGATCAAAATATAAATATGTGAAAGTATAGGGACTAATTTGCAAATAAGCAAAATAATGGTCTAAGCTTAAGTTTGATTGTGTAATTAAATTCTCCATGGAATTTTAATGACTAGAAGTGGTCTTGGATTAATCTAATTATGTCTAGATTAATTTATAAAAATAAGTCAAAACTTGATAAATTAAAAGTCAAAGGTATGCAAAATTACATGAAAAATCAAAGTATGTAATTAAAGATGACTAGTTTGATAACCTAGTCTTATTTTCTACTAAATGGTTGATTGAATGCTTTCTTTTAAGTCAAGTTAAATTATATGTTTAAATATGGACCAATCATATTAATTTAAAAGAATTACTAGGTCAAAGTTGAAAGAAAGACTAGAAAACTACTAGTTAAGTAGTTTTGTTGAATTGTTGAATTTCTACATGATTGGTTGATTGTTTTCTTTCCTACATGACTTGTGCGCATGATTTTCTTCCTTGTATGATATATGGGCTGATTGTATGTAAAGTAAAAGAGCCAATAGAAAAGCAACCAATAGGATTAAAGATGAAGTGTGTTGAAAGTCAAAAGTTGTATGCTAGTTGTAAAGTTAAAAACTAAGCAAATTTGTGAGATTTTTAAGGTGCAAGCCAGTTCTTTTTCTCTTCAAATGGGCAGCTGAACATTCTTATAAAGTAAAGGGAAATACGTGGACCAATGATATGTAAGATCAAGTTGACAAAGTGACAAACTTTGGGGGAAAATCTAGAAGGTGAAAAATTGGAAGATAAGTTAAATAACTTAAAGATATTTTCATTAAACCAATTAGCCATCTTTTTCTTTAGGGGGATCACAAAATTTCTCTCTTCTCCTACTCTTCCTTGTGTTTTCATGGCTGAACTTGTTCACTTGAAAATGGGCCAAGTCATATCTTTTAAACTAAACACTTTTAGGTTTAAGTTTCTATATGAAACTTGTAGTTTAGGAGCTTATGAATCAACCATGTGATTAGTTTTACAAGAGGGGCTGTGTAAA